AAATAGGTTTCGTTTAGACGGGCGTGAAATAACAATGGCTATCCGGAGGCCGCCCGAAGACCCTGATACAGATACGGTATCATGGTTACACGGGGCAGTCAGAGATATACACGCGTACCTCACAAGCTTTTGTAATGCGCGGGACTATATAGGTCTAACGATCAAATCCGACAGTTTTGCGTGCGGACTACATTATATAGAACATTGAATGAGAACTCGTTGGTAGTGCAACTACCGCTCGAACCCCGCAATGCTTTCTTCGGTGGTCGTACAGGGAATACCGTCCGTTTTTACGAAGTCGAGGGTTCTGAGAGGATACACTACGTGGATGTGTGCTCGCTCTATCCCTTCATATCGAAAACGGGGAAATTCCCTGTAGGTCACCCTAGAGTGTACGTGGGCAATGATTGTCGCGAACTAACGGGTGATCACAATAACATCGACAGCGTAGAGGGGCTGATTAAGTGTGTCGTGTTACCACCGCGAGATCTGTATCATCCCGTGTTACCGACGCGCATGCACGGTAAATTGTTTTTCGCACTGTGTCGTTCCTGTGCAGAGTCTAAGCTACAGGGTTCGTGTCCTCACGAGAATCCCGAGGATAGAGTATTCGAAGGGACATGGGTTGTGGACGAGGTCAGGCACGCTGTACGTAAAGGATATCAAATAACGGCGATAAACGAAATATGGCAATACGAGATCACTCAGTACGATCCGACGACGCGGACGGGCGGCCACTTTGCCAGTTACATAAATACATTCCTGAAGATTAAGCAGGAGGCTAGCGGCTGCCGCGCGAGTGCTGCGACGATGAGTCTAAGAAGCTGTATGTAGAGGAGTACGATCAGGTCGAGGATATTCGACTAGATCCTGCTAATATAAAATCAAATCCCGGTCTGCGAGCAGTCGCCAAACTATGTCTGAATTCCTTTTGGGGTAAGTTCGGGCAGCGCGAAAATCGACCTAAAACGGAAATCGTAACTACTCGTCAGAAGCTCGTGAGTTTGCTTACGTACCCGGAGGTCGAAATTACGGGTATTCTACCCGTAGATGACGAAGTACTCTACGTCAACACAAGTAGTACGAGCGAATCGGTGATACCTACAGCGTACACAAACGTCGTTATAGCCGCGTACACCACGGCTCAAGCTCGTCTTAAGTTATATGACTATCTCGAGAAATTAGATCGACGCGTACTATATTACGACACCGACTCGTGTATATACGTATCGGGTGGTCGTCACGCCGATAACGCTTACGAGCCGCCGCTCGGCAGTCTTTTGGGCGAAGACGTGTACTATATTACGACACCGATTCGTGTATATACGTATCGGGTGGTTGTCACGCCGATAACGTTTACGAGCCGCCGCTCGGCCTCATTTGGGCGATATAACGGACGAGCTGGAGTCGTACGGTGTTGGTAGCTACTATATGTCACGTCTTTTGTATCGGGAGGCCCGAAATTTTACGCGTACCGGGTACGTAAGCCAGACGGTTCTCACGCAGAGGTCTGCAAGGTCAAAGGTATCACGATCGACCACGCGACGAGTCTTACCATTAATTATGACTGGATACGGTCTTATGTAACGGGGGAGACTAGCGAAGCGGTCGTTTTACGCTATGACGCGATACGTCGTACTCCGTTTCACGACGTAGTGACACG